TATTGATAAATAGTGTTATGATAGCTGTTTTAAAATCAAGATCAGATTGAATTGCCTTTTGTTGCAGTTTAGTTTGTAATAGTACAGTAATAGTTTGATAACCAGCAGGAAATGTTCATGGGCCAATGATATGACCAATTTGAAATGGTCTACATACCAGATGGCATGAATAGCCATCTGAAAGAAAAGAAATCATTCATTTAGATTGACTGGGGTGATTTTGTAAAGATGTAAATAATGTATAAAGAAAAATAAACAAATAGTAAGCAAAAAATAATAATTTCAATAGAAGACAAAAGGGACAATAATTAATAATAAACCATAAAAATAAGTATTCTGGAAATTCAATGCAGAAATTGAATAATTAGATGTCAAATGTAAAACAATACTGCAGTGTAAAACAAAATAATTTAACGTTTTGGTTTTTTTTTCAGCAGCTGGGGTGTTGGGAAAAAAACGTAAAATAACAATCATTAAATTATACAAATCTACCATAAAATAATGGACATTAAATTACAGAAATGTCCTTAAATGTACATTTCTGGTAAATTTCTGTCATTTAGCGTGTTCATTTAGAGTTAATTTCTGTAATTTAACAGCCATTATTTTACAATTTTACTAATACATTTTTTAGTTAAATTATTCTTCATTAAAATTGCAAATGTTGTACTTTTTGTGTACAAATGATCTTGAAATGCCTTTAAAACACATGCCAATGATAAACTTTCACAATAGTTATAATTTGGTGGTGCTGATCAATGATAACCTCAACTCAACTCAATGTGACTATAGCAGACAAACATATTAAAATATTGATGTTGAAACAATAGATTGTGCAGACCTAATGCAATGCTACATTTCTTAATAAAATACTTTTTTTTTTTTTAATTGCATGTAATTCTTGAATAATGTTAACTCTGGACCCTTCATGCTCAAATAACAGGGTTTTCCACCTCAAAAAATAAAAAAAAAAGTTATAAAGATGCTCATGCTGTCTGACTGATGATCGGCCCAAATCAATTCCAAAGCCCAGAGATAGACTAAATGACCCGAGTTATAGTGTGCGTTTAATGGATATCATAAATTTCACTGTGCATTACAATCTAAAACACAGAGTGAGAAATGGAAACGGCAACACCTGATGACGGCAAAATCATCCTGGAATGAAATCTGGTCACGTCCCTTTTTGGTATTCTGCAAGTTTTTCTTGCTTAGTCAGTATTAAGCCACTGAATGTCCCCTGGACAAATCACGTCCAGAACGTTAAGTGACATTATTGACAGGAAGGAGAGCTTTACGGAAAAAAAGAGAAGAGAGGTATAGAAGAAAACACCACAGATGGTGAAGCAGAAAATATCACGACTTCAGAGACTATTAATGAGCTGCCTGCCAAGTTTAGCAATCTTTCATAACAGCATCAGAAAGACCATTAGTCTAGTTGTAGAGCTGCAGTCGGACGTCAGATGCTCTCTCTGTATGAAAACCAAGCATGTTTACCCAAACACTTTCCAGGGAAGATTTACCTATAAAACATAGATACAGTTGAAGTCAGAATTATTAGCCATCCTGTATATTTTTTCCCAATTTCTGTTTAACAGAGATACAATCTTTTCCAACACATTTATAAATATAATAGTTTTAATACAGGGTTTCTGCACATTTCAGCAAGTTAAATTTACGACTCAAGACATTAAGACCAATAAAAATTTAATTTTATACTCATACAGGACAAAACGCTAAGGAGTTTTTCCCAAATGGCCCAGCTGGAAAGTATTTGGCCCATCAAACTATTTAAAAATAATTTAATAAACATATTAATGCAATAATAATAAATTAATAATCAAAAATAATAATATTTTAGTTTATTCTGAGCAAAAATATTTTAAATATTTTGTCTAATCAAGCAAGCTCTAGTTGTATACATACCCTTTTTTCTCTCAACATAACCTTTCTTAAAAAAAAAAACACTGTATTAAAAAATAACAGTCTGCTTAGGTCAGTAGTAAATACAGAGAGGACTTTTTAACAAATGTTATTAAAGGTAAATAATTAAACCACTATGGTAAAAAGAGTTAAGGATGACATTTTTAAATGAATTTTTTTTATTTTTTTTTTATTGAGATAGATTGGGGTAGCTATACATGGACATAAGAAAAGTAAGACCTGTTTAAACAATATTTAAGACCTAAAACACAATATTTAAGTAAATTTAAGACTTTACCACATTTTAAAATTTAGTTTTTGAGATTGAAGACTTAAGATTTTTAAGACCCCCATGAACCCCCAACTTCTAATGAGTTATTTCTTTTATTTACTAAATATTTGTCAAGATACTAGTATACAGATTAAAGTGACATTTAAAGACTTAACTAGGTTAATTAGATTAGGCAAGTTAGAATAGGCAAGTTAGGGCAATTAAGTCATTGTATGTTTGTTTGGTAAAAAATATTGACCTTAACATTTTTTTTTTTAATTCTAGTTGAAATAAAATAATTAAGACTTTCTCCAGAAGAAAAAAAATATGAGAAATACTATAAAAAATTCTGTGTTCAACATCATTTGGAAAATATTTGAAAAAGAAAGGAAAATTCACAGGAGGGCTAATAATTTTGAATTCAATTGCACATTACCTGAAGTAAATGTGAGCAGTGTGAAACTCATCAGGACAACATTGGAGACGGGCTGGCATTTCAGGAAGGTGTCTTAAATGGTAACTAGGTAGTTAATAGGCTGCTTCTCACAAAAACATCCTATGACCTCTCTTTATCAGTAACATATTTGGACTCCTAGATATGCGAGGCATTTTCCAATGAAAGCCCACAGTGCATTATACCAGCATAATGTTAAATTCAGAGCTGGACATAATGAATATAGAAATTCCAAGCCAAATAGAAGGGATTTCATTACTGAGAAAAAGCAGACTTGTGAGCAGCAGCAATAATCCAGGAGTCTCAAAACACCAGAGGAACCTCCACTTTGAACATTCATTTTGAGTATGACTTATTATTTTTTATGATTGAATTGTTAGAGACCTCAATATATGATTTATTAATTAAACTCGTAGTTTCCTATTTTCCAGACTGCTTCAATAAGTTTGTCTGATCAAATCAAAAACCAGCAAATATGATTAAAATGCTGTGGTTATGTTTTATTAAAAATGTATGGGTTTTTTCAGTAATTAGAGAGATTAACACATAAACTATAAAACTGTTACATACTGTAAAACAAGAAATTTGTTTTTGTATCCAGCTAGATTCTAATAATTTGTCAAAAACAAGCAGTACAAACTATTGAATTGCTGCAACAACAAAAAAAAAAAAAACATTTTAGTCAAATAATCTGAGCAGCAAATCTGAATACTAGATTCATTTCAGAAATGTCAAGTGATACTGAAGACTGAAATAGCCATGCTGAAAATTCTGGTTGTCATTACAAGAATATTTCTGATGAAATATCAGCAGAATACTTTCAAATAGGGCTGCACGATATTGGAAAAAAAATCAATCTTTGCCTTTTTTTTTTTTTGCAATAAATATTGCGATATGAATACAGTTTAACAGAACGGGTTGAATAGCTCTATTGTCTGCACTCTCAGAAATAAAGTTACAAGCGCTATCACTAGGGCAGTAGTTTTTCCAAAAGGTACATATTTGTAACTGAAGGGTTCATAATGGTACCTCAAAGGTTCGTTTTAGGTACATTTGGGTAATAATATGCACCTTTTAGGTACCACTGTGGACTCTTTGGGTACAAATATGTGTTTTTTGAAAATGTACTGCCCCAGCGACAGCTCCCGTACCTTTATTTCTGAGAGTGTGAGGAGTCAAACAATATTCAGGTACAAAAATTTAATAATCACAATGCAATTTTTTTTTTCTTCTTTTATTTTGTCGCATTTCTAGTCAAAATATTTAAACTTTCTTTGATCAAATAAAAATATTTTTTGCACCTTATTAAGAAATTTACTGTAAAGAGTAAGAGTTTTTTCCTAAAAAATAAACAAAATTATTATTTGCCAGTGATGTAACTGCTTTCACATCTCGTATCGCAACCTCTTGCGATTAGCTATTCGCAACGTTTCAAATAGCAATTCGATTGCGATCAATCACACAGCCCTACAATACATTTTTGTAACACCGTGATGATACCTTTTGTACCCAGATGTTCAAAACTCTCATGAAATACTTTCACAGGCTTTAAAAACGCATGCAAATTATAAACATTCACTTAATGAAGTTCACTTATTGAAGGTAAACACAGTTAAACTGCGTTCTGTTGCTCCTGGTCAACAATTCAGATCCAACATTGCATATCCTGTGATGTGACTATTGCAGATGCGCACATTGTGATATGGATGCTGAAATAATGTGAAGCCCTACTTTCAAAATATTTAATTAAATCCCAAAACCCAAACTAGAGCTAAGCGATTAATCGAAAAGTAAATCGAAATCACATTCAGAACCTATAATCCATCAAATTTTTCCAGGTCAATTTTTTGTATTACTTTTCCTACTGCGCGTGGAGTCACGTGACCATGCTCTGTTAAGGATACTTTTGTGTTGAAAGCACTGGCATGGTCCAGAGAAGCCTTCATGCAGTTGCATACTTTTGTGAGTACATCACATCTGAGCATATTTTTTGTATAAAATGTATCCCTGAACTATGAGGGCAAAGAAATATATAAATAAATAAAATAATTGTTTATTAATTGTAATAGTTAAAATCTTTAATTAATCAAGATTTAGATTTTAGGCAAAATCGCCTAGCTCTAACCCAAACATTGTTTAAGAGATGGTTCAGTTTAGACAAAGACAACTTAAGCAGTACTGAAGTTGAATCTATTATTTGTAATCAACTCTCGTTATGAAGTCATAAAATACCAACATAATAGTATTAATAATATAATACGATTTCTAATATTCTTTCATAGCGATCAAATTAATAAAAAAAATGTAAATCTACATTTTACAATAAAACAGCCTAAAATTGTTAATATGAAGCATTCCAATAAAAAAAAAGCACAAGGATCAAATAAAATTCATTGAATTATTTATCTCATGTTGTTTTTGTATCTGTTGTTGCATCTCTAAAAGTCTACCCTTCAGGATGTGCACAAATGATCACTTCCTTCCTCTTCAAACGCTGCCACTGAAGCAAGGCCTAATCGCCTTCTCCGACTGAACCGTGAGTACATCTCTTGCTTGAATTTCAGTATATTTTTTGTGTATGTGTGGGTGGGTGCGAGAGCAACAATTCAAAGTAAACATGCGCAGCCTGAGGACAAATGACCTGCCTTTGATTTCCGGGCCGACATACTGATAAAGTGCACTTGGCAAACTGATAGAGTGCACTTCAGTCTCCTGCTGTGAAAAAAGTTGTGTATGTGAGCGAGAAAAAGGTTAGGGGGAACTGGCATGTGTGGTCAGGGAGACTGGACCCCTGCCTAGTTCGCTCAAAGAGGAAGGATGAAAAAAAAAACTGGATGGGTAGGTGGGTGCTGCATGGTAAAGGTGTTCTCTTCAAGTAAGCCCAGGGCTGCTTGACAAACACACTTCTGCTTAGATATGATGGGGAAACCAAGGACAAATCCTGTTTGCTGCGCCACACAATTTTCTTTCTGGAGCCAAAATAAACACTGGGAGATTAGCTTAATTTCCTCTTCCTACACCGTGTTTGTCAGCACACGTGTTTCATAACACTGAGGAGTCTTAAAACCCTCACTATTCATTTCCTCTTTTTTTGAGGAGAAAAAATATCAGTGTTGACAAGATCATTCACCCAAAAATGAACATTATTCATCCTCCAATTGTTTCTTTCTTCGGCTAAACGCAAAAGATGATGAGTCATGTTGAAGACTGGTAGTCACTTACAAAGAATTGCAAGTCAATTCATAACATTCCTCAAAATATCTTCTTTTGTGTTCAACAGAACTGTTACAACCCCAATTGTCTAGGGCTCTTGTCGAACATAAGTTAAAGAAAATGAATAAATAAACAGTAAGCAGGTTATGATTTTAATGACCTTAAGGTTCTTTTATTGTGAGAAAAGGGGAAAACAAAGAAAAAAGTGCAAACAAAAATAGCTTCAGGGCTGAGCAAGTGCAAAATAATAAACAAAAAAATAACTAACTCCACCCCAAAGATAACTTAATAGATTTAAAAGAAATACAGAAAAATAAATAATACTTCCCTATACTCCTTAACTAAACCATGAAACAGAAGACAAATCACTTGATGCTAAATGGCACTAAGCTTCTACGGAGCTCAGTTTACTGCTTCATAATGCAAAAAAATGGGTGTTACAGTCACAACAAGGAGATAAGAGAAGAAAATTTCACAACTTTGGACAACTAGAAAACACTACAACAGGTTATTGAATGATAACAAAGCATTCTTGTAAAAGCTCTATATCTCTCCCCCTAGGATCAGACTCCGTCGTCTCCTTTTCAAAAGATGCTGTGTTCTCCTAGCACCAACCGCAGAACATACAGTTAAAGCAAGAACTCAAGGGTTTGGGTGATAAGCTTTAGGTGAACTACCCCTTTAAATGATTGTCTGAAAATGTATCTGATACTTTTAGCAGTTCTGTGCAAAAATAAATCTAAATAAATTCATTTTATAAAATGAACCCCAGCTCATTAAAGTCTTCATTCATTTACGCACAATTTTGTTTCAAAAGCATCAATATTTTTGCTAATTGAAACAAAAAATTAAGATATTTTAATCAAATCTAATTAACATTTTTATTCCTCCACTAAAAGCCTATTCATCTAAAACTCTTGCTGCCTCCCAGTTCACATAGTATCTGTCCTAAATAGTATTGAAAAATAGAAGTAGCGTGTCCCAAATTTGTTGAAAAGGGTATGCCAAAGGTTCCCGGATGGTTTACTATTTCCAGTAAAAGTTTGAAGTGCAGAACCATCCATACTCTAACTGCTGTTATTGCTCACAAAACAATGCACGTTGGAAGTGAATTTGATTACAACTACAAACACAGGTGAAAAGTGTAAATAAACTACAAACATGGTGGATGTGCGAGACCAACCATCAAATAGAGAGGCTTCGGTAAAGATCCTTGTATGACTGTTAATTTATATCTACCCCACTGGAAAATATTTAAACTGCATTTTCTGTAATATTCTTCATCTGCAACAACAATGTGAACTTATATAAAGACGTGTTTGGACATTACCTTCGGAATGCAAAATTATCCTAATACCTGGGGAGATTTCTCAGCATGAAAGACTCGTGAATGGCAGATTATCCTGCTGCTGCTTCTCCAATAAGGTAGGAAATTAAATATGACAGAAATGTGGATGATGTGTAAATGACTGGCAGGGCTCATAACTAAGCAACACAACTATCTGTTAACGAGGAAGTAGTGTGTCCCAAAGCTTGCATACTCTTATTAAACCCTAAAAAGTATACTTTTCCTCCACAAAAAAATACATGCTTTTATGGCGTAGTATGCGAATTGGGATGGTTTTAAAATGATCTTAAACAAATTTTTTTTTTTTATAATTAATACAAACTGAGCATTTAATCTAAGGCTGCACCATATTAAAAAATCTAATATTGCAACATCTTGTTATTCTGGGATATTGCGATATCAATACAATTTTACAAGGTGACTTGTTAGATGATAATTTATCATTTTAGATTGAATAATATAATTCTGTAGGCGAGTGAAAAAAGCATAAAATATTATAAACAAAATACAATAAAGAAAAGTTATAACTGAAATAAACAGCATTTTATCATTTTTCAAGTCTAACAGTATTCAGGTACAGTAATTAAATATGTTAAATAGAAATAATACAATAAAATGAATCGTTATTGAAGTTACAATGTCTTAGCCCAAAATGCATACAATCACAGGCCTCAAAAACACATGCAAATAATAAATAATAATACAGACTCAACATGGCAAATCATACGATGTGACTACTGTGGATGATCACATTGTGATATCGATGCTTAAACGATATATTGTGCAGCCCTAGTTTAATCCAAGTCTACTAAAGAAACAAGACGAAGATTTTTAATTTAGGCTCTTATTCACGCATAAACACTGATCAGCAAACACCAGCTCCATTTCCATCTATATATTTTAGGTTATTGCATAACATAAAGGTCAAGATGCGCATACACTTTTTAAAAAAGATTATTACAGATAATAGGATTGCAGATAATTGTTCAATTTAGGGTAAAACTATCTGCTTCATGAAATTTGATTGCAAGATTCAGTAATGGTAAAACGCAACATTCTTGAGAAATGTGCGATGGTAAACGCAAGCTATATTCACTTCTGCTGTATTAATCCGTGAAATTAATTCCACCCACTTAATTATTCAAAGGCGACACTGAACAAGCCACTGAACTATCTACCACATTAGCATAAACATATTGTCAGACAAAGATGGGTCTGTGATATAAAATAATGCACCTTTCCAACACTTTTTTTACCCAACATTTGCATTGCACTGATTTTTTATCTTACTCTAAGCTTTCAAGCCTTAAAAAATGTGGTGAGATTTACATATTTTCACAGAGTCACTTACATACAGCGGGAATGGCCTTGTGGGTAACGTTTGTGGCACTCTGCAACCCATTAAAAGGCTTAACGCTTCATTTCAACTGAGGGAAAGTGGGAGACTCTAAAAAGATATCTCAGGCTGCACAATTAACTAAATAAATCTTATTTACGACAAATATGCGCCGTGATAACCAGAAAACTCCTTCATTCATCCCATTAAATGGTAAATGCGCAGCTCAGTCCCAAAGCTGATTGAGGAAATAAACCACATTGTGGACCTGCAATGTTCACCTTCTGTTAATATAACTCATGAGTCACAACTCCAGGCGTGAGAGACCCAAGTGCACTTCCACAAGACTGATGATGCCTCTGACAAGACCTGCAACTCAAATGATTGCTTTGTGGCCTGCAATTTATATAAACACGGTGAGGAAAAAACCCTTCGGTTTTGGATCAGTGACTCCAAATGGAAAGTTCTTGGGACAAGGCATTAAAAGATCAGAGCTCTGAGACATGGTCACAGTTTACTGATGGCGAAGTGGATCCCTTCTGCCAAACGGAGAGCTGGGAATTGGAACCTAAGCCTCGGAAAACAATCCAGCTGAGCCCTTGCCTCTCCTCTGGCTACACCGGAGAATTTAGCTGTCAATCAAAACCTTGGCATACCCTAAATGAGCCATTAAAGAGAGAAATGTTTTAGGGTTTGAGCCATGAGGTATCTCTTCCATTTAGCTGGGACATCAATTTTAATGTCCTCAATACCAGGAAAACCTAATCGAATATTATAATAATTTGAAAAATTGCTTCGACGGTAGCCTGTGGCTTTCTGAAGTAAATAAGCAGCATGCTACTGGGTAAAGAAGGAAATCCTAAATATGTTTTTCTCCATATTGTTACATCTTTGGGTACCTGTGTGGTTTGCAAAGAAATAGATGTCAATGATGGACCATTAAGGGCTAGTGAGTTCACTAGGCGCCAATCTCGAAAAACACCCTCAAGCTGCTACTTTCTACTTAAGCATGCTTATACAGCTCCCCACTTGAATGAGAAAGGTCATGGTTTCAATAAATTCAGCAGTGAAGTCTACAGAAAAACAGTACACTGTAAAAATAGTAATCATTACAATGTTGGAAGGGAAAAATATTTATAAGATATGAAGTAGTCAAGTCTGTACAAATATTTAAAGGTTTAAAGGTTATTTGGAAATCCAGTCCACAATTAGCATAGCTAATCGCGACTAGACCAATAGATACAAATGCAGTAAATATTGCAACTTTAAAGTTGGAGTCAACTTTGTATCAACTAAACAAAATCTACCCAAGCAGTATTTTGAAGAGAGAAATTGAATAAATAAATATGAATAATTAATAAATGTAAAAAATAAATGTAAACAAATGCATGAATAATGGTTGAATGAATGAATATGCATTTTTTTTTATTTAAAAAGTAATTTAAATGTAAAAATAAATATATATATATATATATATATATATATATATATATATATATATATATATTTATTAACTCAAGAAATCCTGTGATTGTACAAGGATGTATTTAATTCAAGTCTAGTAGAGCTTTATTGTGATTTCACTACATGTGTGGACATAAAATCAAAAGAAATGTTGCGTTTTGCAGGACTATTGTGC